TGTTACACATTGTACGGTGTCAACGTGTTAAAAAGTACTTTTACCATTACTGCCCGACACTTCTATATACCGCCCGAACACGCGTGCAAGCGGTGATGGATAGATCTCTATCGTTGCTGCCGAGTCTTTCGTCGTCTCGTCGTTGCTCACCGCCGCTGCAGGGGCGTCATCACCGCGGAGGTATATAATAATATAATCGTTGCAATACTTTATCACACTCAGCGCGCGCGCGCCGTACATAAGCGTATTGGTTCGGCGCGCGGTGTAATGCGTATTCGCAGAAACGAATATACAGATGGGCAATACGCAGTGTACAACGGCTAAACCATTCATATACAATACATACATCATTAGATATACGCTAAATGCGTATAACGTTTTATTATGTAACGCGTTTTCAGTGGTCTCGAATACCTATTACAATCAACAATATATATTATTATTATTATTATAATATGGTCTCGGGTCTCGTTCTCGGGACCTGCATATTAATTAATAATAATATTGATAATATCTGCGAGCGTATGTGCAAGGCGTATGTGTGCAGTGTACGCTTAGGTACACTCGTCATCTAGTGGAGGTACCATGTAGGTACCACACACCGTATATGTCGTAATGAACACAACGCGGGCGTGTAGGTACACAAATATAACATCAATTACAGTGTTGTACAAAAAGTAAGATATTACGACAGTAGTTGGTGATACACGTGGCGTATTCGCTGGCGCTATAATCTGGCCCCAGCCTGGGCAGGTAGGTACCGCTATATGCATATAGGCATATCGCGTCTCCTGCATTCATGCAGGGTTAAACGGCAAACGATACAATATTAAACTGTACACGTCGCGCTCCGTCGTGCACGGTCAAAAGTACTGTACCATACATCATCACTATATTTTCATGTTATTGACGGTATATTATTATTGTATCATATTATCATTATTATTATGATTATTATTAGTAATATCGTTACGACGTCACGGACGCTGACGACGCGATGACGGCGTAATTGTATACGATTATAACGCTGTACGCGCGTAGGCCGCGGCTGTCCGTTGATTCACTACAATTAAAGACATAATATAACAGCGCAACATATATATAATATGCACGCGCGCGCGCGTGTGCGGCAGCTCGTTTGCTTTCGTTCGGCAAGTTTGTGTTGCGGAAGAAAAGCGCCGCCGCCGCCAACACGACGGTATTGACAAAGATGTGTCGCGTTGATTTCGAGCGCGCGCGGAGATAATGGTAGACGGCCGCGGTCCGGTCGAGCGCGCGCGGCGTGGCGCGCAGTGGCCACCGCGCGGCACACACGCGCACACGCACGCACACACACACAAACATCGAACTTTTCAAACGCCGCGACACGACAAGTGCTGACGGCGGCGGCGGCGGCGGCGGCAAGCGTACGGCGTGTTGTCTGTAGTGTCGGACGGGCCGAGGGATGGCGGCGGGGTAGGGTGGGGCATGTCCTCGTGGTGCGTTCGGTGGCGTGCAGGCCGTCGAGGGCCGCGGCGGTGGCCACCACCGCCGTCGCCGCGCCGGTTGGCTGAGCGGACGGACGGACGGACGGACGAACGTGCGCTGCAACCGACGACGGACGGACGGACGGCGGACGGATGACGACGGTCGACGACGCGGGTGACGCACGGGCTGAGGTGAGTCCATTGTTCGTGTGACCGCCGGCGGTGGGCGGTCGCAGCGGCGGCGGCACGCCCACCTGGATGCCGAGCATGCTGCGAGGCCCGTCCCGCCGCCCCGAGCCTGACCCACGGCGGCGGCGGCGGCGTCGCCGTAGTCGTCGTAGTCGTCGTCGCCGCCGCCGCCGCCGCCGCCGTCATATCCACCGCCACACCGCAAACCGTTCACGCGCGCACTCTGTACGCCCGCCGCCGTCGAACACGGGCCCGCCGACACTACACGACACGGCCGGTCCGTCGTCCAGTTAGTATTCGACTCGTCGTGCGCGGTGCGCGTTCGGTATCTGCGTGATCTCCACGTCCGTGTGGGAAAAATATTAAACTGTAGACAATGCGCGCGCGCGTTTACGTGACCGTGTGGATTTTCGTGATTATCACGCGCGTGTGTTCGCGCATATTTATTTTCGGTCCACCGTACTGTTGACACTGCGCACACGGGGCCGACTGCGGCAGAACACAGTCGTCTACCTGCGGTCCGTCCGTCCGTCCTGCCAACGCGTGTTCGAGACGCGCACGTCACACCGCGTACGTACGTGTGGTGTTCACGGCGTTTCCTCGGCCGCGACAGATACAGGCGCGCGGCCACCGACCTCTGCGTGCGGCCAGAGACCGCGCCGACCACGACCGTCACACCGCCGGGGTACACACGACTAATAAAGGCATAATAACACCATAGTCGGTCACACCCGCGCGTACTCGACGACCACTGCCGGTGTGGTGGTGTGTCCATGTCGACGCACTCACCACTAATAGTATTCTTCGCTGCCCGACGACCACCACTGACGAGACACCTGCGTCGGAGGGCACGTCGTACACCGCACGTTTTGCGCGCCGAAAGTGACGTCCCGATCAGCTGGCGTGCAGCAGCGGCACTATTAGCAGCAGCGTCGGTATCAGCAGCAGCAACAGCAACGGAAACAGCAACAGCAACGTACCGAGCAGCACAAGCAGTAGTGGCCACCGCCGTTACCGTCGTCGCCGCCGCCGCCGCCGACACCGCCGCCGCCGTCGTCGTTATAGTTGACGCGCCGCTTTGCGAAAGATAATAACCGCCGCGCCGTCGCCGTCGCCGTCGTCGCCGATCATTCTCTGTTCATTATCAATTTTTCAATGAAAATATAGATTACCTCTCTGTATTGCCACACACGCACGTATATAATATACATATATACATCAACACATGCACGAGTGTGCCGCCGCTCGTTTTGTATTTTAATGTTTTTTTTTTGAATTTTTTTTTTTTTTTTTGTTTTTTTTTTTGAAAAAAAATATTTCTTTTTCCTGTTGAAAAGCGCCCGTCTGTGTACGACAGCGATCAACAGCCGTAACTGAAGTGCATCTCATGTTATTATACGCGTTGACAATTATCACAATATACGTCCGTGTATATCAATAAAATATACCTATTATAAAGGTCTTAATGTTCACTTAACGTACCTTTACACTTGCAATTATTTTTGTATCACACCGTCGTTCACGCCGTTTTGTCGTTGACATAATACTATACAACATATATATGTATATACTATTATAAGCTTCAACGCATAATAATATATTTCGAGTAAACTTAATTTTTATAAAAACATTTCTCAAAGTCGTGTGTGTTAACTGGTTGCAGTGATCTTGTATACACAACAACAACAACAACAACAATAATAATAATAATAGTTTTAAACGGTCTGCTGTTGATATAAAAAAGCAGCCACAACGGCGATAAACAACTACATCAGTAACAGCAGCAGCAGCAGCAGTAACAGCAGCGGCTCCTCCAGCAACATGGCTCAACCCAGGGTGAGTGTTTATGTATGTATTATTGTGCGTTTTTATATCTACTTAAGTTTACGATATTATTATATACCTAGCTGTAGTTATGTATACAATATATACAGACAATAATATAACGATGAATAAAACATAATATGCACCGGCTCGGTCGTAATGTATATATATATATATATATATAAATATTAAATATTATATATATTTTTATTCGTACAGAACAACATTTTTATATTGTAATGATAACGATCCGTTTAAAAAGCTGCGTGTTCGTCATTGAGACTCACGGCTGCGGCGGTTATATTTTCGTTTTCGTTTACGCGACATTCCTACTTACGCGAGTTACGACGACGATTATATTATTTCAAACCCGCGTCCCGCATAGTATGCGAAACGTTCGATCGACTATTAATAACGCTGTTGTGGTATAGGTACTTTGCCGGGACGTTATCATCAATAACCGCGTCAATTATAAACGTATCTATCTAAACCTATATATTTATAATAACAATGATACCGTAAATTGTATTACCTAATATTATATATATATATATATATGTATATAGTTATAGCTAATATTCTACAGTTTACGTCTTGGCGACAACTAGGCATATCGTGAACAATGTGTTTAGTGTTTTTCATATACTATGTATGCTCCGAGTACGTATAAAACGGTCTATACACGACTGTGTATTACATAACGCCACTATATAATACCACCCTTTGAAGTACTGGTGTGTACGAACCGAGGCCATGTGGCTTTTGTTATTTTTATTCCTTCGTTTTGTCACTTTTGTCTTAACGCCGCCGTCGCCTCCGCCCACCGCTGTCGTCACTTAGACGTAGGTACTTTCGGGTTTTTTTTTTTATATAATACTCCGAATAATAGGTACCGTGTATGGTGCGTATTGTGTTTTGCTCGGAATGATGTGTGTGTATGTACAATTATTGTGGTTATTGTTATTATTATTATTATTACTTGTTCGTGTTTTATCTTAAATTATTATAATATAAATTATAATTTATAATAAGAATAACATTTACTGTGGTTAATCAAACATTTAGCATAACAATATAATATAATACGTCTGTACGTATACACCTAATTATATATATATATCGTACGAGTAATTACGATTAATGAATTAGTTTAAGAAGTAAAATTAAATAAAAAACATTGCTTGTTGAAAAATGTAATAAACTAATTATATTATATTTTATAATATATTTATTTATAAAAAAAACAACGACAATGTTTTGTGTTAAAAGAATTATTTGCTGTCATTATGGATCTTTTAACGCAACAACAATACGCACAACATATTATTTTCGACACTGATGTAATTTTGTTGTCACGTATAGTGTATAATATGTATTAGTAATTATTATTAAGCAACTGATAAATAATACGAATGATAGGTACGTTAATTTCTAATCAGTAACTTAGATATACGTATAACTTTAGTTTATGTTTAGTTTTTACTATTATACGCGCGCGTAATAGTTGTTTTTTGAAGTTCGTAAAACGAAAACTATCAAAATTCGTTTTAAAATAAGATTTTACATCAGTGAATAGGCGTATTAAATGAATAAACTGATGCGTTAAAATATTTCAACAGCCGATTAATACTTTTAATACTAAATAATAGACGTTTTATTGTTTTTTAGCGTTGCTTACATTATTTTATAGTAGGTATTTATTTTATATTATAATCGCCTATAAGCTATAATGCATATTTTATAGTTTTATAGGGATTTGTTGTTAATTTACACACACATTATTTCGATATAAAATATTCATTAAACATAGCATTAAGAATTTATAATAGAAATTAAGAATAAGTTGGTAGGTGGGTAAATAAGTTACGGCATTCACATTCTCGTCTTACGTACAATTAAATATTTGATAATTTAAAATGTACAATTTTATGATGAGTAAATCATTAAATATGATAAATTAAATTGATAATAATTTATTGCAAGTAGATTTTGAACCTATAACTTAATAATATGTTTACTTAATAGGTTTTCAAAATGAGAAAATATATCCTTATCCAATCATAATTTATTGATATTCTGGTAACGTTCTCAAATAATTGATTTTATTATTGACGTCAGTGAATATTAAAGTGACATTTTATGAATAGTAAATTTGTTTATTTGAAATATTTGTATGAACTAGTTTCTAGTTGAATACATATTGGTTATTGACTCTACTATTTTATAATAAATAGTAAAATATTCACTGGATTATAAAACATAAAAATGTGATATTATATTGACTTTAGATTATTACGTTCGATTAGAAGTTACGACACATTCCATCGATATCTTTATTTGACAACAGATAATATCGTTATAACTTGATTATCTACAGGTCATTGACGTATAATTTTATGTATACATAATAACAAAAATAATAATGATATTCAATAAAATTAATCAGGTTTATATTTATAACACTAAATAAATATTATTTACATATAAATTAATGTGTTTATTAATATATATGTAGATATATGAACATTTAAGTATAAAATTATGAAATAATACTTATGCATTATTGTTTAAAAGAAAATACTCGATGATAGATTTTTTTTAGTTATGTATGATAAAAAAAATATTAGGTAATTAAGTATGTTTTAAATATTTACTATACACTAAATAATTTAAATTAGAAATAAGTAAAACTGTTACTGTGCAATAAGTTACAAAATAATATATTAAATAAATATAATAATATATTAATACAAAAAAAGATTAATAACTGAATTTTTTAAATATATAAATTTATTTTACAATATTTATATTTAAAAAAAAAAAATATGGTTTTAAAATTATTCAAAATATGTTTATAATTTTTATCTCAGTTTCAGGAAATCAATATTTTTTTTTTTTTATTGATGATTAATGATTAGGTATTTATTTGAAACTGATATAAAGCATAATATTTTTCTCTCTAATGTTTTAGACAATTAATTTGAATATTATCAAAATGTTTGCCAAATTAGCCTTAATGTTGATTTGTATTAATAGTAGTCATTCTTTATTAATATTCAAAATATTTTTATTTTTAGCAATCAAATGTTTTGACGTTGATGATTTATTAATTCGAAATTTACATTTTTATAAGATATCAGCTATATAAACATGCTTTAAATTAAATATCAAAACATACTAATGAAATCAATAAAACCTTACTTAATGTACCTTTCTATTAAATATAAATATTGGTTATTATAATTGTATTAATTATTATTAAAATAACTATATTATGGCTATCACTTTAAAAAATTATATCGAAGTTATATATATGTATGCAGAGATATTACCAAATAATTAATAATGATTACTCTGCATAATAGATCGATTATACTTTAGCTTGAAATAGTTTAGGTTATTCGGGTCGTATACTAGGAAATTATTATTGTTATTAATTATAATTCATAATTAATAGCGACTATGACGGCTAAAGCGAAAACCTTTGATGTAGTTAGCACGCCCGATGCTGGCGCAATCACAACTTATGTAGGTATTATCGCCACGGCAGCCGCCTTTGGTATTCTTTTAATTCGTCGTCATCTAATTACTCATTATTTTTATATTACCTAATCATAATTTTACCGCACTGATTCTATGAAATCGTTTAAATAATAATAAATCATTAAAAATTTGGCCCTGGGTTATCATCAATCGATCAAAAATTTCGACATTTTAATTGTAGGCACGTAATGTATTTCATGCAAATTTTTATTTCCTTATAGATCATAAAAAAGGTCATACCTCTAACAGTTATTAATAAAATGATAAAACTCATTTTCGCGTTTTTATTATATAAAATGTAATTAATAGGATTTAAATAACAGTAATATAGCAGAATTGAGAATATAATATTATATTATTTCATATTGATGCAAATATGCAATAGGTATATGGAATTATTAAACAAAATATAATAATAGTCTATTAAATCTTGAATAATAATTGATATTATCTTTTTTTATTTGCTTGTTTTTATAAACTAACTATAAAATAAATTAAAACATACTTTAAAAAAATCAGATTTATTTTATAATAATTCAGTATAGGTATTTATATGATATTCTATATTCAAAAATTGAAGTTATTATTTTATATTTTGTTATATATTTTTATAAACAATTATTACAATATTTCACAACATATATTTTTTTAAAAAAAAATAATATTCTGATGCATTAAGTAATGTTTTTACCTAATATAAACATATTTTATTATTTAGAAATACGAACCACATATTATTAGTGAATATTAATTTGATTTTTGTGAAAACATTCCAGGTGTACTTCTTTTTGTAGTATTTTTTGATTTTTTTATAATAAAATAGAAATATTGATTCTTATAATGATCATAGATAATATTTAAATGTATTATACATCCACGATGATCTTAAAAACTTAACAAAATAATAAGAATTAACCACAATATTTTGATATAATATTATCGCTATTATTATATTTATACGTGATTGTTATTTTATAAATAATTTTGAATGCAATACTGAAGTCTAGAAATCTGAATATAATATCACATATTTTATAATTACTTTTTATCTTTATTATAACGCATACTTTTATTGTCAAATCATTTTTAAAAATGTGATTGTCATAATACTACTACGACATGACGTTAAACATCTCCATGTTTTATTATATCATTATATTATATTGGATGAGGCGTAAACCTAACAAGACATATGGTGTTTTGAAAAACACAAACCGTTGTGTGATTTTTTTTTTCATTAAAACATGTGAATATTTTATAAATTGTTATCTTACAGTTATGCATGAACTCCATGGGCTCGCACAAAATAATAATTTAATCACACCTATTTAAAAATTGAAAAAATTATAATCAAAATTCACGCATTTTTTTTTAATACATTGCCATTTTTACTTAATAATTAGATTAGGTTACTTTTTAATTACCTACACTCCTTTTCGTTACCTACACGATAATAAAATATCGAAATCAATATGATAAGCTAATTATTATAGTCCAATGAGTTTAGATTTTAAAATAACGTAGGCGCCTCTGTAGATCATAATTGAATGTAAATAGTTTAGAGTACTATAATTTATTCGTTACAGGTATATCGATTATTGTTTTTTTTTTTTTTTTTTGTCTGTAAATGAATGAACATTACGAAAATTATTTTTATTTCTATGTTTAATCCAACGCTTACATTCGACTTTGTGTTGCAATGAATATAATACTTAACAGACAATAATAATAATAATAATAATAATAACAATAATAAAAAAAAAACAACGACAATAATAATAATAATAATAATAACAATAATGATTATCTATTGTCGCCCTGTGCAATGTTACACGCATTATTATTATTGCCCGCCGTTGTGCACATAATACCTACCTACTTACCTACCTACCTACCAACCAACCAATAATTATTATTAATATTATGCCATGTTTACCGTACCTTATTAAAACGTTTGTGTTGTTTGTGTGTGCGCGTTCCTTTTCGGTTTTGCAGTACGACGAACCGGGCATACACCAACAGCAACAGCAGCAACAGTACATGGATGCGGTGGTCGGAGCGGCCGCCGCGGCCGCGGCCGGGAACGGCGTGGTGCCGCCCGGCGTAGTGCCCGGCGGCGGAGTTCCCGGCGGTCTCGGGCTCGCCGGCACCGGCGGCATGTACGACCAACACCAGCAGCAACAGCATCTCGCCCATCGGGGCCTCCAAAACATGGCCGCAGCCGCAGCGGCAGCCGCCGCGGCCGCACAGCACCACCACCACCATCAGCAACAGCAAGCGGCGCACCTCCAGCAGCAGCAGCAGCAGCAACAGCAGCAGCAACACCCCGTGTCGGCAATGTTCCACTCGGCGGCCGCGGCCGCTGCGGCCGCCACGCCGCCAAACCACGTTTCGCCGGCCGCAGGCGGTGGTACGCCCGCCAACAATCACACATCCGGCGGTGCGTCGGGAGTCGTGCCCGAAGCACAGAAACGTGACAAAGATTCGATTTACGGGTAAGTCTGTTTGATGTAATGGTGTACCTAATGACTACGTGTCGGTAGTCGGTCCGCCGCGGTGCGTGATGCGTGTTGTGTACCTGTGAGAAAGTTTTTCAAAAGCACGTCAAAGGCCGTGGAAGTCCGTAAAGCGCTGCGTCGCGTAAACCACCGCGACACAGCGGCTGTCGCGAGGTGTCATACCTGCACTACCACCGCGGTGTCCCGTGGTGTTATACCGTATACCTAGTATTATAATATCACGCCAAAAGCGGATGAAGACGTTCGTTCGTTGAAAAAAAAAAAACACGTTTTACGCGGACATAAAAATTTATTCGATAAAGCGTGTAAAAACAAAACAAAAAAAAAAAAAAATAAATAAATATATGGACACGGACCAGACGCGGTATAAACCGCGGTAGTAGTACGCAGGTACATCAGGATTTTACGCGCGATCGCACGTCATTCTGTTGTTTCATTTGGAATCTATTTGCACAAACCACTCTTTGACCGCGACCAAAGCATAGTTTATCGTTTTCCCTCCAATATACGCAGCCCAATTCCTTTGTGAACACGATCGTAGGGTTTTCGCAGAATTCTGACGATTCGATATTTAATGTCTTGAATACACGAAACATTAATCGCAGTTTTTATTTTCTTCCATCGTTTTTGGTTTTTAACTCGAATAACCCATCTTGTTCGCGTGTATACGGATCGCGTACATCATAATGTTTATCAAAAGTTGCTGTAAAAACATTAACGCACCATTTCAAATACTCCGCTGGCTTGCTGCAGGTACATCAATTATTTTTTTTATTCCATTAAGTATACATATATATTTCACGCGTCCTATGACGTCCGTTGACGATATTGTAAACTTTGTCGTAAATCGATTGATATAATTCATTTATTTTTCACTTGGATAATACGTGTATATTTCGTTTTTAACAAATCCATATAATATAAGTACTATAGTTTATTAATTCTTTGACGCGACAACGTGGAAAAAAATTGAACATAAGTATATTAATAATATGATACGCGCAACGTAAAATTGTTTTCTATATCCATTCTGTGTAAGTATATCGAATTCCGTTTCGCCGCTTCTACTACATGCATAAGTATTACATGCTCTCTAATTCGTACGTCATCGAAACGGTTTTATTTTTTTTCTACATTGTCGTTATATTAGCGTGTTCAATGTTAATTTAAATCAAAATTTCGTGTTCATTTTAATATACACACAAGGTTCACCTTTATTGTTATTCTTGACCGCCTCCGTTTGTGTATAAATATATATAACGAAGGTAATTCGACCGCCTAGGTACATTAAAGTGTACCTGCCGTAATATTATTGGTATAATAATAATTAATATAACAACATACAATACCACCGCACTTACATTAATATTTTCTTATTTACCAAACATTAACCATTGTGTATTAATTGTCGTGTGTTCTTTTTTATCGTCCCCTTTTTAGGCACCCGCTGTTCCCGCTTCTGGCATTAATATTTGAAAAATGCGAACTAGCCACGTGCACGCCCCGGGATCCAGGCGTAGCGGGCGGTGACGTGTGCTCGTCAGAGTCCTTCAACGAAGACATCGCTGTGTTTTCCAAACAGGTAATATTTTAATTTTTTTTATTATTAGTGCGCGCGTACGTGTAGCATTTTAAGACTTTAAGTGTTATTCTCGAGCTGCATTCTGCGGCTCTGCTCCAGCAGACGTACAGCCGTTTGTATAAAAAGAAGCTATCTAAAACAGTGCTGCACACACGCGACATATAGTTTCGTTTACTACTATAGTTTTGTATAGGTAATAAATAATAAATAATTATAATATAATATGATGGATACGCACTTTCCGGTCGTTGTTATTCGCATAACACTTATTGTCTGTAGTATACTTATACTACCTACAACAGTATTACCTATTTTATTATTATTATAATATTTATTGATTGATTTCTCCCTTTTCTTCTCCCTTATCGTCTATCGTGGCTTCACACGATTTCGATTAACGCAGGGTCGTCCAAGTTTACGTGTCCCACACACCGTCGCACGATGCACTCTATTTACTATTAAACTATACAGACCTAGCTGAATTATACATATATAGGTATAGTATATTTGCAGCGTTCGAAAAAAATAAAATAAAAACAAACAATTTACCGATATACTTAGTCAATAATACGCTTTATCGCAGGGCCCACCGCCGTTGTATTATTTACAACCCTCATCGAGAAATAATTTGTATTGTATTTTTGAGGCGACAGAGGTGTTGTGTTGAGGAGGAGGTAATAATATAATGCGAGGGAAGAACGTCCGGTCAATATATATATATATATATATATACTATGTACAATTTCAGCGGGCGCGCGTTTATGTGTATACTTTATAGCATGTATATAGTACAGGACCCTTGGGCTATTTTGGCGTATATATGTATAGCAGAATTGCACACGTTTTACAAGGCGCGCGCGTACCATTTAGAGAGAAGACGATGGTCTGACGAAAAAAAAATGGGCTGGTCGCGTCGTTTAGCGGTAGTGATTGCCGTGTTACGTGATTGCGTATGACCGTGTGTGTAATTTTATAGTAGGGCTATGTTATACTCCGTATAATTATAGATATTACAAAAACACGACGACACACTTGCATCGTTTAGGGCGGATACCCAGGAGTTAACGGTAGTGGGTATAATATAATATATAGTTGCGCGTGACGATATGTAGGTACCACGAAAGTGCTATGATAGAAGACAACCCCCAAACACTGTATAATATGTATACTCAGCACGTGGATAGGTGCGTTCGATTAATTTCATATACCTATATTAATATATCATTATAATTTCATTCTTATTAAAATAATAATAACCGTATTAACTGTTTTAAAAGCGGATATAAAAAATATTGTTAGCACGTTCCGTGTACATGTCGTGTGCATAATTATTACGATGTTCTAATGACTGTGTATTAGAACATTTACAATTTATAATTTTTATAGAGTACTTACTACAGTGTTCAGTAAAAAAATTAGACAAATAAAATAATAACAATATTAATAAAAATAATTTATATGATAAAAGAAAAAAATAACATATAAGAGGTCCGACTGACGTTGTTGCTTGGAATGTTGTTTATGTATTATACTTATATATTTTTTATAATAATAACGATAATAATAATGTCGTTGGTGATTTTAAAAAGGAGATGACGTATAAACTTGTCTTAGCTGCTATTATTATTATTATTATCATTACTTACATAAATGTTTTTTTTTAAATATTTTTATACGAGTCCTTTAAACTGAGTATTACATTTATTTCCAAGAGCCGTCTATTTACCGCGTCATAAACTTGAATTCAATATTTATATGTTCTAACAGTCTGATTATTTGTTCTCTATACCCTGAAACAAATATCAAATGTTTTCATCGCCTATATTATTATGTTTAATTTACACTTAGGTGGGGATGATGGATTAAAAATATTGTTTATTTTATATGGTTTATGGTGTTTTGTATTTAAATCTATGAAATTTGGTACTTTTTAATTTTTAAATATTAAAAATTTAATAATCATATTCTCTCTGCTTCTACAAAACCAATTGTTTAAAAAACTAAGTTATAAATTGTTATATTTAATATACATCATACGTATAAACAAATTCTAGTGGTACTTATCAAAGTTATGCAACCTTTCATCAATGTTTATAAGACACAATTTATAAGTGTATGTGTATATATATATGTACATAAATACAATTATTTTTAGAACAACACGCAAGCGTATTTTAGTTTCAGTGGATGCATTCCAAAAATCAAAAGTTAATAATCAACTATACTATCTAACTGAGTATGAGTATTAAGAATTAAACATATTCCAATTTCTTTTGAACAACTGTTGTCAAAAAACTATCGTTTGTGCAGTTCTATTTTGGATTTTTATTTCATATTTTTTAATAATTTTTATCATTATTATGCCAATAAAAATGATTACGCTTTAAAAACGCAATCTTTTGAAATATTCGTTTTAAATACAGCAATATAATCTTAGTTTAAACATTCTCTTATACAGCATTAGATAACCGTCAGCGTGGTTGTAGAAGATACCTTGTTTGGTCTACCTCTACCCAGCCACTTACTTTGTATAACGATTAACGATGTTATTTATTGCCGTAATATTCACCACTATCCACTGTTGTTTCTGTATGTAGTTTTCATTCATCTAACAATTGTTTATAAAAATACATTTTTTTCTTGATTGTTTAACATAATATATATCTAAACTTGATAGTTTGTATAAAGATTATTATAATCGTATAATGATGTGATAGAATTTCACATAAATAATCAAAATTCGTTAATTTACTTAATAATTTTTCCTATTCGTTTGAAAATCATCATTTTTTTTTTTTTTTTGATTTTCTTGTGTAATAAACTATTTCACAAATATTTTTAGCTGCTGTTATTTATCTTTGAATTTGAATTTTTTTAAAATATATTTTAGCCTAAAATGTTGAATATTATTGTACTACCTTTACAATAGTATTCGATTCTTCTTCACGTTTTCTGAGTATTCAGGTATGTTAAGGTGGCGTACAAATTCTTGTTTTCTCTTTCCCTCTTTATATTATATTTATATAATATAATGTTCTTTTTACCTTGTGGCTGGCTGATTGTTGTTTCCCGCTGTGCAGATGCATTCATGGTCTTTTCTTTTCACTACCCGGGTTTTAGGGTTGGGTCCATGAATTCTCCCTATATTTAGTTCTTTTTTTGCTTCTATATCGTCTTTTTGGGAGGTCGACGTCGTTGTCGTACTCACACGAATGCTGAGTTAATCGGATTAGGTACTGTGCGTGTCGAATATATATTATATATATTCAATATATTGTGACTTATTGTATACATTAAAAACACGTAGGGATGCGTCAAATTCTTTGACCTAAAAATAATAATTTACAGCACATTAGGTTTGGGGTTGTGTTGAAAAGAAGGAAAAAAAATGACTTCAGTTTAAATCGACTGTACTGCTGTTACACACTTGCAGGCTCATTTGTTTATAAAAATTATATCACAGCAGTATTCTGTCTGTCTTCAGCGTGTACATAATACATATAAACATATTATTATCGAGTTTTAAATACAATCGCGTGCGTATATTATAATTTATAACACAAAGATTTTCTTACCAAATCATTTCTGTACAATATATTATTATATCGTGCACATTGGTGCTATAGTCGAGTTTACCGCTTTAACCTTAACCTACATTTTTACGCGGTTAGTGTAAGGCGTTGGTGTACGATATTCGTATTATAAAGGTACTCTTCTTGTTTTAAAAATCAATTATTGGGATCTTCCTTCCACTTATAGACTGTAAAATCAGTCAATCACGGTCAAATTTGGTGTATAATACAATAGTATCATGCGATTTTTATATTTAATTGTATATATTGCGCCTCATGTTAAACGGGAACCCATCGCACCAGTGTCCCGTAAAGCCGAATCGTCGGCTGCTGCAACAAACACACACACACACACACACACACACACATATATATATATACATTAAATCATATGATAATTAAAGCGAGGCCACCACACTCATGGCTTGGCCGCCGTCGCTACTACTCATTCGCTTATTTAGTACTTTTTTACGTGCTGCTACAGTCACGCGCGCGCACGCGTGCGTGTGTATTAGTGCGAGTGAAAATAGTTGTATGCGTTCACACCATAGTAGTAGTTGTAGTAGTAGGCAGTAATAGTCAGATCGGTGGCGGAGGCTATTTTATATGTAGGTAAACAGAAAACGGGACGTTACATTTAATATAACATATAATAATGTAATAATATATTGTGTTATTTAAAAAGACAAGTTGATTTTTTACTATTTTTACTATTTCTATTGATCAACGATGGTTTCGTTTAAAAATCACGATGGTACGTTTGTCCGCATTATAATAGGGCGTTCACCGTTATCGTTGCTGCAGACAAAGCTGATATTATAAAAATATTGAAAACTATTATTACCAAATGGGCGTTAATGTATGTGAAATTTTATTAATTATCTCATGATTTTGTACCGTGCATTGGAAGAATAATTATTATAACAAATTCGCGTATAATAATACCGAATTACAAAATATGTTATACGACGTTACATTATATTATATAAAACGTGACAAAATACAATCGATTAATTGATGTCGGTGAACTTAAATTGTTACAATAAAATATTAAAATCTTATATTTTTATAGATATTAAAAATTTCATCGTATATACGTACATATATTAATGTAGTCTATTATTATGTATTAGTTTCTATTTATAATTAATTGTATAGAATTAATAATATATATAAACACTATACCCATACAATATTAATTAATACATTTATTTCATATTTTTAACCTGTTTTTATAGTAATTATTTTTTTTTAAATCCATTAATGTTGTATAATATGCTTGTATTAAACATTCATTAATACATAGACTTATTGACCACTTATGTAGTAAAAAAATAATGAAATATTTCGCGGATATTCTGTTCTAGAAAACCTATTGATACGATTATTATTATTTTATTTTTTATTATATACCTTACTATTTAGCTTATCAGACAACGAAACCTCAATTGAATTTTTTTACCAGCCTATCTATATATTTTTTGAAAAGTAACTATGTTAAGTTCAAATCTCGTTTTACAGTATATTCTAGACGGCATAGTTTAAATAATAGCTTTAATTTAGATTATAATGCCGGTAAAATTAGAGTTTTCTGCTAAAAGTTATTATTATAATATAACTCTTGTTTAGGCTTCGTAATAGCGTCGGATAGAACACTATAAGTATAATAAAATAATATAGCACTTAAATACGTTTAAAAACGATTAGGGTTTGTGATACTTTTCATAAAAAACTAAAAAGTGCATTTGTGTAAAATGTGGTTATAGTTGTACTTGTACATTAGAAACTGGTTATTACTCATAAAAAAATCAATATAATCCATGTACTGCAGCTATTCAGTAACTATATATATTCTCAGTTATGAATTCGAGCCAAAGAACGATGAAAAAAAGATCATACATCTCAACTAAATTATATTCGCATATGATGACGATTGAAAATATACGTATAAATACAATATATATAGTATATACCTATATATAATAACGTTATCGATAATTGTTATATTTTATATTATATGTTTTTTATGAGTATCAGTGATCATTGTTCATCGTCTAACCATATTTGTAGTATGCTTTTTATGCCGTTTTTGTTTTTTAATAAACATATTAAGGTGGCTATGGATGTTTTGAATTTTTATTTACTGCCATAAGTTTTTATAGACAGTTATAAAATGCACGATGTTTAATATTACATAATTTTATATTATTTTATGCATACATTTTATTTAAACATTGTAAGCAATTAAAATTAAATTAATTACAATTTTTTTTTATTATATTATTTAAATAATATTCAAATTGAGCTTACGTTGAAAAAAACTATTTTTTTTTTTTTTGTTGTTGTTTAATATTGACTGTATGCACCTATTTCTATTGTGTATTTTAGTTTTTTCATCGTTTTCGCCAATATTACTATGGTTTTTTTTTATTACTTTACGTCGTTAATGCCATAGTTGTCGTATATCTTTGAGTTTTTTTTTTTAAGCTGTAGTAATATAATAAGATCCTGAGGATAAAAAAAAACTAAAGGTACATTGTGTGTACCGTATCAGAGAAAAAAATCCATTAGACCACCTTAACATATTTCTTCACAACGTCCCACGGTCGTTGCGGGACAACAACAGTCGGTATTGAGAAAGAGTGTAATATAATATAATATATATAAAGTATTTATTGTACAATGTATTAAAATGTATTTAAAGATAAGTGATATTATACAACGTTATAAAAATAATAATAATAATAACAACAAATTCAGTAAAAGTACTTGTAATGCATTTTTTTTTGTTCATATTTTTCAAGATTTTCATTTTTTTTTTTTTAAATTAAATTTGTCTGTGTACCGCAGTTTTATAATATACTTTGACGCTTACAGGCTTAGAGCATAATAACAATGAATTATTGTTTAAAAAAAAGTAATTAAACGCAGCTTCAAGCGATTAAAATTTAGTTATTTTTTGTAAAAATGAATTTTATATAGTGTTATTAGAATATTACTTGCACATTATTATAGAAACTAGATAATTATACGATGATTAAAATAGTCCCAACTTAAATGTCATAGATTTATTTTTTGTTCATGTGTCATGTCCTTCAAATTTATACAGTGCTATTACAATATATTTTAGATATACATATTATTAATCTTATGTATATTAAACAATTAATTATTATGTTTGTTTGAGAATGTTTGGTATAACAATTATAATACATAGATATCTTTCAAAAAAGTTCAACTTTTCTGATATTTTACTATTGTAATAATAATTCATGAAGCAAAGTTTATATTTTAAATTTAACTAAAAAATCTGTAGTATAATGTTAAGTACTTGATTAATATAAAATAAAAAACTAATATCTACATCTAAATTAGCTAAATTACGATGGTTATGCATAACAATAAAATAATTTATAACAATTACAATTTAATTCAACTTTTTAGATATTTTTGTATTACGTTATTATAAATAAACTCTTTTTATATGCCTACTTTAAACAATTTTATTTTTATGGTATTCGTTAATACTGATCACATTAAATTATTATTCTAAAATTAATCTGTTGAAATAAACATCGTAAAAAAAAATGACGTCTCACAGGTTCATTGCTATTGCGGTAGCCACGGTATTTAAATGTAAACGGCTCGTAAACGCGGCAGTCACATGGTGCTATTTCTACCCCCATAACGTTATTATTTTTATTGTTATTGCTACTTAAACACCCTGGTTTTATACTTATACTTATTTGATTATTATTATTATAAAAGATTTATAGATCCATTTCATTAGCCTAATCACTATGCAGCAATAAATTATTATATGTAGTAATATAGTATATATTATTAAATAGTATACCTACCTATATAGATAAATTTATAATACCTACCTTAATCATTTTTAATATATCATTATGTTAATTAATTACTCAAGTTCATCCGCTGTCTGATTGAAATACGTTAAGGAATTCTAAATACTTGCTTTTTATTATAATATAAAACAATAAAAAATATGACAAACATAATAAAATAAAATAAAAAACGAAGATTACGCGTGTAAGCACTAAGCTGTCTATACGCACATCGGTGTGCTCTCGCACACTTACATATTTTATATATTTTGTGTATGTGTGTGTTACTTATATGTTTATATATATATATATATATATATATGTATATTTATAGACAGACGCGAAAAATATGCGCGCGCGCCCCAACAACGGCCGCGGCTACGACGGGTTTAATTGCATCGTAAAACCACTGCCACCACGTCCCGCGCGCGTCCGCCGACCGACCGACCGGCTGGAAGGCTGACTACAAAATCGTATTCGCGCAGTTACATTGTTGTTGCTTATTGCTACGGCTAAATCGAAAAATGCGAGAAAAAAAAATCATGAAATAAATTTGAAAAACGACTTACGGTCGAGCCTTATATTACCTGCTGTTCTTTTTAACAACCAATCCATAAAATAACCAATGTGTGACAGCGGCGGCACCGTTAACAATATATTATATTCGAATACTACCTACTTATGGAAAAATTACTGCACAAACGAAACATAATCTCATAACACTATACGAATATACATTTTTTTAATATAATACAATTAATCACATTATGGTATTTTTATTTCAGATACGTCAAGAGAAACCATTTTATATGGCTGATGCTGAAGTCGACTCATTGGTAAGAACATAATAGTGTTATTTTTACGATTTAAATACATTGTTTTTAAAATGCATAGTTCCTAGACACCTATTATAGTACTGTAAATTTCTGTTGGGACGCAATAAATTTTACTGTATCGATAAAGGTCAAAATAGTTTTGATATTTTCAGATATTGAATACACATTCAATATAATATTATATTGATACAATACAATTTATCGTGTAGTGTGCTTTAAAGATATATTTGGGAAGTACCTATGATATTGAATTGAGATCTAGTAAGGCTGATTGCCGGAAATATTAGTACATGTATATTGTATATATTATATAATATGTACTTAAACTTAGTAGTTAATTTCACTATATTATTGTGTGTTGTGTCTGCTGTCTTGTTTGCACGGTCAAGTGAGCAATATAGTGGAGTTACAATGCGCGTGTGTGTATATTATATATATAATACAGCTCGTTAACGTTTGTCATCTCTGTCAGCTTACTGCGATTTGAAAAAGAGAGAAAACGCCTGTCGCATTTTCCACTTTAATATAATATATATATATATTATACATCGTGTTATTACTATTATTTCATTTCATGAAAACCCCGTAGTGATCAATTTAGTGATGAAAAAATAAAGATCAATTGCAATGAGGCGTAACTATAAACTAGAAGGAAATTGAGTATTACCTGCACCGCCGACGCCGCCGTCAATGATTATAATATTATATAGCGCATTAAAAATAATGACGTTAAGGCGAGATGGAAGACATTATGGATGGTGTATAGCTATCCTATACGGTGGTGCTAAAAATTAGGAAATTGTAGTGGCGTACACGGTGTGTGTCTAAAACTAGCACCAAAACAGAAACCTAACTGACCAGAAACTATAACAATTACTAAAGGTGCCAATTTATATGGAGTGGTACATCTTTATAACGCATACTACGGGTCAGAGAACTGTTGGACCGTGATTATTGTGACATCGTGATCCGTGAAAATACTGCTTAAACAGGATGTTGCGGCGGTATCGTTTACTCGTATATCTCTTCAATAACACGAAAAAAAAAAGACGAAAAATGGACAACAGAAATATTTCTCATACGACACGAAATTATTTAAAAAAATAAAAAATAAAATAACGACGACGGCCAAAGACAACGTAACAAATAACGCGATATTAATATATATATATATATAATATATAAATATTTTTCTCCCGTGTGTAAACATATATGCATCACACACATATATATAATTATTATTATTATATATTTATATATACTAAATATCTTATACACATATATTATGTTTCTCTGCGGGGGACAACTACTTATATAAAAGCAGCACACAACATATGCGCCATCATCATCATCGCTATAGCACAACGCAGAAGAGTGGAAAATGGAATCCTGTTGACCTTATGTGTTGTTGGCCTCTCCGAGTTAGTGTGTGCGTGTGTGTGTGTCGCGCGCCCGTGTGTGTGTGTTTTTTTCTTCCACATTTTTACACATTCCAACACCATACGTCGTCCGCGTCGTCCGCGTCGTTGTCGTCGTCGCCGTCGATGACGACGCGGCGGCCGCCGCCGACGACGATGACGACGACGAGGGTACGTAGGTATATATTGTAACGGCTATAGTCGTCGGACCGACCGACCTGTAGTAGAGGGTGTGTCGAATTCGTGGAAGGTGTCCGCGCCGTCTCTCTTTCCGAGAAGCGAAAAAAAAAAATGAAATGAAACAAAATAATATTATGTATATATCCCTCCGGTGCACGATGCTTATAATATAAAATCACATACGCACACACACACACGCGCGCGCGCGCTACGGTTCGTAGTTGTATGGTGTATAGTTGTTGGCTACGGTTCGTTATTATAAATGTACCATCATCATTTTGTTGGCATTCGATCAATTAAACATATTATTAATAGAGTTTTTAATTTTAGACCAACAGCGTCGTGTTGTACTTATAATATACTTACTATATAATATTCATATATAATATCGTGTATATATTTATATACATATAAATACGTTATTATTATAGTTTTTCCGTCAATTTCTTTTTCCACTGCATTATTATGATTGCCCGCCGCCATTTTCACGTTTTTTTTTTTTTTATACACTGTATAATATTAATAAATATAAAAATAAAATAAAATATGGTCTCCAACTCATGAGAGTCCCAAAGGGCAAAGCGGCGGCGGCGATGCTCACAAATAGCTTATAATTAAAAAATATGTGGCAGCGATTGTAAACCGGTTTACCTGGACAATGGGAGTCTGGTGAACATAATATATATATATTAATTTATATACATACATATTACATATACATGTAATATATATATATATATTATATTTATATATGGGTTTCTTCTCTTGATTTTTCTTGCATTTGAATTAAAATGAGAATGACATAGGTACAAGTTTTAATTATGATTATATTATTATTTATTATATATTTTTTTTTATTGAATAAATTATTGTGTATTAATGATTTAAATTCATAACTATTGTTATATAATATGTTGGTATAATCATAGTAATATTTGTTTTTATCGTTTATTTGTTTATTATTCTAATAGAAATAATTGATTTGTATCTTTAAAACTTGTTGGATTATTACATTCATAATTTCTCATAAAATGCAGCTATCAAAATTTTATTAGCTAATATTTAAGTTGATCGAAATTGTAAAAAAATCAGTGTTAGCGTTTTTCTACTATACATATCATGCAGGTGCAAGTACAATGTTTATTATAATTGTATATACATTTTATAATAAATAGTAGTACCCAATCAAAACTGTTTTAACTATTTGACATCATTCTTATATACCACACAAAGTTCAATTTTTGAGTATCATATAATGTTTTATTGTTTATGTAAAAAAATTAATGTATAAATTGTGATATATAATTTAATTACGAAGAATACGTATTCATCAGTCAATGGCGTTAAAAATTTTCAACACACAAGAATCGATGATCACGTTAATTAATTATAACTACCAACCGTCAAACCACGCGTCGATATAATCGCGGATTAAATAAAAAACGACCAACATGACGTACACTTCATATAAATCAAAAATAACGTTTCAATTTGTAACAAGAGTAGTAAGGAGGAGGACGGCAACAACGACGGCGATATGAATTATAGTCTCTTGGTGGTTGTGTGTGTTACACCATACGGCATATCTTATATACCTATGAAGTCATGCTCGTCATCATTACTTATATACAGATAGTGATGGTTTAATATTTACAAAAAAATAAATAAAAAATTATTAATTAATATTTAATACTTATCGTTTTATTATTATATAATATATATGTACAAATTAGTTTTAATATAATGTAGAAAAATCTAGTCTAATTTTTGTTATCGTGTTTAATAGTGAAATACGTTATAACAATTAAAAAATTAATTTATAATCTTCATAAAAATTTAAAACTATTTATTACATACTCATGTATTATTACTACGTTATTACAACAACTATTAGTTACTACAACTATTATAATATGTCTGTATACTACAGTCTACAACTTCTACTGTTACGACTATTATAGTTACTATATTACTATACTACTAACTACTACTATTACGTAACTAGTGTGACTACTGGGCGTGATTTATTATAAGTGTAAAAAAAATGTTTAACGACTAATAAATCATTAAATATGACTTTTTTTACAGATGGTGCAAGCAATTCAGGTGTTACGGTTTCATCTATTGGAGTTAGAAAAAGTATGTATTTAATTAGAATAAATACGAACGTATAACATACAATAAATTAGAGTAGGCGCAAGTATAATTTATGAGTGTTTAAAAAAAAAACTACTAGTAGGTACATCGTACATATGATTTCAGTAAAAAAAAAAAAAAAACCGACAATGAATTCTATGATAAATATTTTTAAGGTTTTTGCACCGATAATGACGATAGTCAACTATTTTATTATTATTTTTTTATACATGTACGAGTACATGTAACGTAACATATTCACTATACCTATTTATATATATTATTATAACATAATAATGTTACCCGTCTTATACATGATGGCGTGGTCTAACCATGAAATGTGACCGATCTGCAACGGCCGTGGTAACACTACACCATCACACACATGTGTTTCTTATTTTATTTTTTTTCGGAAAATTCTTCATAATCCTCCGTAACTAACGGCCCTTCGTCACGTATACATATGTGTGCGTGTGTGTATGCCTGGCCGCTGTCGCAATATCGTGCGAAATATTTTTACGATAACGGTATAAGTACTAGTGAATAATAATAATAATAATAATAATAATAATAATAATAAAAGATGTATATATTTATGTATTATACGAATATACACTTAAAAACGTAATTTTTTCCTTACAGGTTCATGAACTATGTGACAACTTTTGTCATCGTTACATAAGTTGTCTGAAGGGGAAAATGCCAATTGATCTCGTGATCGACGAACGAGATTCGTCGTCATCAGCATCCGCAGCAGCAGCGGGTGGAGGTGGTGGAAAGTCCATGTCTGAACTGGGAGGTTTGGGCGGTCTAGGGGGCGCTACGAACGGCAATAACGACGGCCGTAGTAACGCGGATTCAACATCGCACACAGACGGGGCGAGTACGCCAGACGTTGTGAGTACATAAATAATCAGCTAATAATTGTATAGTATAATATATACGTTTTAAGATAAATAAGTATAACACTCGTGTTTAAACCGCATCATTACACCAATCACTGTAGGTCTCAGTTTATGGTTGGGGGTGTTGAATTTATGTAAATTTGTTTATAGGATTTTTAGGTCTTTATTTAATAATGACTCAAAATATTAACATACTTAATACGTATCATTTCATTCGAACCACGCGAAACGAAACGTCTGCAATGGCAACTCACTCAAATGTGGCAGATACGAGTATACGTATATAAATAGTAAGACTGATTTCGCCGTTTATTTTCTTGTCGGTATTGGCGACCATGTTTTAAGCGTATTAACATGTATACATAATATATGTAATAATATTATATGCAGCCGTCGCCGCAACGTTCTCCTCGTGTCATTGCACGGTATATGTAACACCACCACGTTTTCGTTGTTGGGAGGACCGATATGTTACTATTACTATATTTATGCGCGTATATATAAGGGGACCACCACGCTCACACATGCACACTCACACATATACACGTATAGTCACTGGTTTATAACAAATACAATAATAGGCATATACACTTACACATGCACGCCAGAGGGTGGGTTAGAGGGTGCATGGTTGCGCGTGAAATGGAATAACAATAATAATAATATGAAAAAAAAAAGTTGAGAATTTGCGCGCGTTTGAGAGCATTGTAACACCACCGGTAGATACATATATACAAATACACACACACACACACACACACACCGGGTGCGGCCGTGGCTTCTGTATTATATACGCACTACGTGTATTATACCGGCCGAGGCCCCCGTTTACGTCCCCCTTCTACTCGGGTGTATACTTTTTTTTTTTTGGGGTGCGAGAGAAAAACTCCACGTCGTCAGTGGTGGCACAGGAGATGGGTTTTTACTGCCGCTGCTGGTAATTGGTGTCAATTCGACGGGCAACCATCATTCACACCACCACCGCCGCCGTCACACTGTACATACTCGTATATATCCATTCCCTTTCCGACCCTTCACCCTCCGTCAAACCGACGAGGGTATACTACTACTGCACTACTACAATAATAGTAATAATGACGACGTCGACAGGGGGAAATCGGTTTTTTTTTATTATTATTATTCGGCTTACACACGTGGTACATCATTGTGTTTTCTCTCCGCCGCCTTTCTGGTTCGCAATCGTCAGACTAGTTTACACGGGCAAACAAAAAACGCCGACGTCGTGGGTAGGATCTCCATGTCGTTGGTATTATATTATTGTTTACGGTTGGCAAACGAAATTGTTGAAAGAGTTAGAATTAACCGTGGTTGATAGACATAGAGATTTTGTCTTTAGCAATATTGACACAAAATCCGAAAATATTTTCGAATAAATTAATACATTTTACTCGTCGAATTATGTTAAACATAAAAAAGGATGTAAGCTAATTATAGTATATAATATATTTCAGCCAATCAGAAATATTACATTATAACTCATGTATCCAATTCCCTAGGAACTGGTTATGAAGTCATGAACTGTTGCTTTTACGTGTTTCGATATAATATAAAACTATTTATTTTTTCTTTCGAAAACATCTTTTTACCATAATATTACTATGCATCACTATGTTATACGTTTTCTCGTAAATGTCGTCAATGATGATATTTATTTTTTTTTCGAAAAATTATTCCGGATACTCATACTTGTATATGATATATATTTTTATAATTATATCACCAGCTGCATGATATTATATCATAGCGATGTGTGTACGAGGAGTATACGTATACACATTATTTTGCGCGCCTCGAGTATGAACCTACTCGCGTATGACTATAGTTAGTTTTTAGACAAAGACACACGGGACGCTATTTATATATTCATCCGTCGTACATGTGCGCGGGGTGGCGGCGGCGGCGGGACATGGCTATTTGGGTTTTTGAACCGCCAAACACAACCCATAGACACTACGGACTAGAGAGGAGATATTTCCGTGAAACCGAATGCCAACGAACGCTCCATACTAACGCTGCGCGTGTTCGTGTATTACGAGATGAGCCACAATGTGACATCGTATATTTTCATCTCGCATTAATGTACAGATAAATCAGCGGCCCACTGCCGTACATATTATATGATATCTTATAATGCACATAAAACGTATAAGTGTGTGTGTGTGTGTGTGTGTGTGTGTTTGTATGTGTGTATGTTTGTGTACACGTTGATAAACGCGTACGCGGGTTATCGCGATCATGACGGTCTATTCAAGTGTAGTGTCTGTTACGGCACTTGACTGGAAGGCGGTTTGTTGACGAAATGCGTCTGTTCAAGTATCGACAACGATGATACTATAATGTAGTAATGAATTCATCTGTATAGGTTTGTTCTTTTTTTTTTTTACTCGCTGGGAATACCGCCGACGCCAACGTTCAGGCGCACGGACGTCGTTGGAACTTTTAAAAGTTATAACCGATTACTCAAAGTCGGCGTGGTGTCAAAATATGTAGCAGACTTCTGTGGACCACCGAGTCGAGTCTCGTAATCGAATCCGATTTTCGTATAATATAATAATATAATACTATACTACACTGCAGCGCGTATGGTAATTTTTGATTTGATTTAATAAAACCGTGTGGGGCATCCAATTATTGACGGTTACTGCTATGTATGTTTCGTATTGAGGAGATGAGTCGCGCGTTAACCAATGGGTTTTTAAGTATTTATAATTTAAAGGTAATGGCACGGAATTGTGTAATATGATAATCTCCTTGCCCCAACTTTGGGCAAACGAATTTCTCGTAGGGTGGTTGTTATATTGATGTAATTTTGTTATATGTGCGCCCTATTCGACGTGTGTCATTTTTTTTTTTCGTTTGAGTGACTGCGTACTCTCGGTGCTTTTATTCGACGTTGTCAGTGAATTATTTCATTATATGGCCATCACCACTAAATATAATTTTATTAATTTCAATTACTTTGACATCGCTGTCCTGCAAATTACATTTTATAAGAAAGCAGTCGAGATGGCAAAAATATTATAATGTCGTTATATACTCATGTGCTATGTATAATGTATATATATTTATATATATATATATAATATATACTAAATACTATACCCAAAGTTTCAAATAAAATGCATTATAACAATACTAAATCAATATTAATGCGATTAAGTTTTTAACACATATTCTTGTTTTTTTCTTTAAATAATCAAATAATCAATCTTCAAATATATATTTTTTTTTTTTTTTAAAGGAGAAATTATACAAAATTAGTATTTTTTTAAAATCTTAAACAAACGCTTTTGTTGTGTATGAATATATATGTAGGTACCTAGAATAAAATCTCGAAATTTTCTATTTATCGATTTTTTTAGTACTGCGACACTTTTTAGCAGTACAAGTTAAAACACCAAATATTTAACTCGTTATATTTTTATAATAATTATATTATACAGCATAATTGCCGGAGTTCGGTGTACTCCCTTTAATAAAATATGGATACATTCGTGCTGAAATATTAATTACACTGCGCTTATATTTTTGGCCCGATAAAACGGTCTAGGTGATAATATTACCTAACAATATTAATAAAATTACTTTAATACATAAATATATATAACGGTATACAGTTTCAAAAAACTCTATAGTCACTATAATATAGAGTCTAGTGTAATATAATGCGGCGACGAACGTTGTCTGCCGTGTATACTACCTAATTAGATAATGTACAACAATTCACTGGGACGGGGAGGTGTAGTGAAATAATAATAATAATAAATGCGCACGTCCGTCTACCCCGCTAACACACACACAAACACACGCATAATAGGATTTGTAGCCAGACGGTGGTGTTTTTCACTTTGCTCAATTGCTCGTCGTGCCGCCGCCGCTGCCGTAGATGTTGTCAATAGTTAATGATAAAAGGGAGCGCGACGCTTAGCGTATATTTTCCCCCGCGCGTAATTAGACGTGTATATCGCGTATATATCGCTGTGTTTCTCCCCGGCCACCATTGAATCCAACCCCGCCCGCACGCCCCGACGCGGTGGACTGCATGAGGCGCACAAGCTGCACAGCACGGCCGCCGTCCGGCCAAGCCGAGCCAGCCAGCCAGCCAGCCAGCCAGCCAGCCCGCTGACATGACACACGCACACTACATACCGCATGCACTGTCGCCGCCGCTGTAATCCGATTAGGTTAATCGCCATTGCCGGTCGATTAACTTAAAGTCAACCGAATGTGCTCTACGCGGGCAACTAGGGTTTCGATGTTCGTCGCGTTTTTATTATGCTATTCCTCGATGGTATAATAGGTATGTTACGCGTTATTTTAACGACACGTTTTTTCTTTTAACTCTGCTCGTATAACCGGGTAATGGCGTTATTGAGTTTGGTGAAAAAGAAGATTTTATTTTTATTATATCCGGCACCTATCTTATCGTAGACTCGCTGTATATTATGAGTTATGTCATTTGAAGATTCATTTCATTCGTTTTTTTTTCTCTCAATAAACTCTAGTTAATCGTCAATACATAAATAAAGCACGACCAAATATTATCAATAAGTTCGATTTTCATGTCATCAATTACTTATGAAATGCAGTATAATTGCAATATGTCTGTCCATATGAAATACATCATGCTAAAAGTACTCATAAAACTAATCATTTATTTTTATTCACGTATACCCATACATTTAAAATCTACCACGATACGTATGTGTACACTATGTATGTGGTTCAAATACATCACTTTTAAGTATGTACTTTACTCAGTGCCATTGTGGCATTGTCTATATGCATTTTTAATTTATCTTTAAAACCACATCATTACTATAAATTTTACTATTTTAGTTGTATCATGTCCATTAAAATTGAATTATTCAGATCCGTGTCGGGTTTTCGTTTCGTAGTTTTATATATCCCCGTATTCCGTTGTACGATGACACGATGTCGCCCGAATTCTAATTATAATTCAGATAATAA